CTGGGCAAACTAAGAGGGGGAGAGAAGCCAAAGGCCAGCGTGGTCTTCGACCTAAGGTACCCATCTGGCTTTTCCACTGTCCTTCCTGCAAAGACTGCGGCCGCCGGTTCTCTGCCCCGGGCTCAAGTTCCTGGTGGAGCCCGAAAGCCTTCGAACTTAAGGGACAGCGAATAAAGATCCCCACGGGTATGGGACGTGCGCCCGCGTCCTAGCGCCCGCAGGGGTGTGGGCGGGGCGGCCACCTCTCGGAATCCGCGGCCCCCGGGTCCCTACGGCGCCAGCGCCGCCCACAGGCGGGGTGGAGAGCGCCTGTGCCCGCCTGGCTGGGGACAGGAAGACCAACTCCACACCAAGTCCAAGTCGGCTGTCCCCTCCACCTGCGGAGAGTGGAATGCCACAGCGGTGTGATCGGGGTTGAGGGCTGGGCTCTGGCGATCGCGACTTTGAACTAGTTCCATGACCTCTCGGAGCCTTCACTTCCTGAGGGCCATAAATGACAGAGTTCTTGGGAGAACACTTGCAAGGTGAACATTTACAAAATGGCATATAACTACAGAAACTCATTGTACATTGGGGAAGAGAAATAGGACGTTTTCGCGGTAGATGGTGACAATAATTCATCTTCTCCTTTCTAGAATTTAAAAAATATAACCATACATTTATTTTTATTTTATTATTTTTATTTGATTGATTGATTGATTGATTTGCACCGGGAATTGAATCCGAGGGCACTTACCACTGAGCCACAATCCCAGCCCTTTTTATTTCTTATTTTGAGACTGGGTCTCACGAAGTTGTGGAGGCTAGCCTTGAACTTGCGATGCTTCTTCCCCAGCCTCTGGAATAAATGGAATTAAAGGCATGAACCCTGCCCGGCCTTATTGTCTGTTGTCTATATCCATCTGTTGGGCTCAACCCTGACTGGATCAAATGAGGAGGGCCGTCAAAGGTAAAATCCAGCAATTGAAAACTCAAGGATGGAACCTACCATCTATAGACTTTTAAGTGGTGCTGCTATACAATATGGAGAATCACAGGTTCAGTATCTTGATTCCTGAGCATTTTGTGTCATAGGCCCATTTAGAGCCTGGGACGCATCTCTATGGAGCATGCACTCCATGAGGGCAGGGAACTTGGCAGAGTTTGGCTTATTGATGTAACTCACTGCTCACATGTTGCTCAAATGAATTCTACCACATACACACACACACACACACATACACACAAACATCGTGCATACCACATTTAGAGAGGAGTCTCAGATTCCTGTACAAATCACTAGTAAGCTGGACCTTTTGTGTTTCCCCGTCTTACTATTCTATAGTCCAACCACATCCCATCATTTGCAAAAATCTCCTACCTACCTAAAATTGTGAGTTCCACATGACTCTCACCTCCACCTAGGCAGTCCTGGTGATGAACACAACCAGGTGGCTTGTGACTCCACCTGCTACAGCAACATCTACCATCCACGACTCCTTGCAACAGCTGAGGAGGGAACAGGATTTAGAACTTAGCATACTTCTAATTATATTTTTTAATTGATTTATTTCTTTTGCAGTGCTGGGGATCAAGCCCACGGCCTTGCACATACTAGGCAAGCCCCCTTCCACTGAGAAATACCCACAGCTTATGCTTCAAGTTTCAAATGTGGAAAAAGAAATGTCTGGGGGGACAGAGTGCAGGATGGGAAGGGGAAGAGGACATATTATAATCAAGGAAAATTAGAGAAATAATTTGAACCTTCAAAACAGCCCATTTCCAGGTTCTAGAAGCTTAGGGTGTTCCTTCTGACACTTCCTGTCTACTGTGTTTCACCTACACTCATTTCTGTGTCCCAGAGCAGAAGCAACTGCAAGACAATCATGTATGTGCCTTCTATCCAACCTTGAAATCTCATCTTGCCCGGGCACAGTGGCACACACTTGTAATCCCAGGGAGGCTGAGGCAGGAGGATCGTGGGTTCAAAGCCCGCCTCAGCACTTAGCGAGACCCTAAGCAACTCAGTGAGACCCTGTCTCTAAATAAAATAGAAAAAGAGCTGGGGATGGGGCCCAGATGTTAAGTGCCCCTGAGCCCCATCCCCAGCCCTATTTTGTATTTTATTTACAGACAGGGTCTCACTGAGTTGCTTAGGGGTCTCGCTAAGTGCTGAGGCGGGCTTTGAACCTGCGATCCTCCTGGCTCACCCTCCTGAGCTGCTGGGATTACATGTGTTATTGGATGTAGTCACCACAATCATGTGGTGTAAGCCTTACCAGGAAGAATCTTAATTTTACCACTGAGCAAAGGGAAGTTTGGAAACTCAAGAAACTTGCCCAAGAGCTTAACAGTAACAAAGCCAGAATATAAACCCAAGGCACAACCCGAAGCCCACGCTTAGAATGCTGCACCTTGAGAGGTTGTAACCATGTAACAGAATTAGGAAAACAGCATTTTTTTGTGTGGGGGGGGGAAGGGCCTGGAATCAGCCACATAGTGCATACACAATAATTTAGTCACCGTCCTATGTCTTCCTTTTAGTATGAAGGAAGATAGCATTCCACTCTGGAACACAATGTCCTGTTTCCCATCTTGGGACTCTGAGACTTTGAAGTTCAAATAATTTATGGACAAATAAAGAGGATTAATTTGCAAACATTTCTGCACAGTTGGAAGATCCAGGGCTGCAGCACAGGTACTGAGCTAAACAAAATTATATTGTCGCAAACATCAACAAGGAACTCTTTCATCTTTCTTTCTTTCTTCCTTGTTTTTGTTTTTTGGCAGTGCTAAAGATTGAAACCAGGGCCTGTACATGCTAGACAAGTGCTCTCTACCACTACAAGCTACTACCTTCTTTGCTCCCCCTCTTTTTTTTTTTTTTTTTTTGGTACTGGAGATTGAACCCAGGGTTGCTCTACCACTGAGTTACATCCCTGGACCTTTGTATTTTTTGCTTTCAATTGGGGTCTCACCATACTGAAGCTGGCCTCAAATTTGTGATCCTCCTGCCTCAGCCTCCTGAGTACTAGAATTATATTACAACGCCCAGCTCATACCAGTTTCTAAAGGTGAAAATTATCTCCTGCCCTGGAACAGTGAGCCCTGTAGCAATCATTTGAGGAGACCTTATAAGCTCCTCCCTTATTACACAGTTGTTTGTGTTTGGTTTTAATACTGGGATTGGACCCACGGGCATGACTTCCCAGGCCCTTTTAATTTTTTATTTTGAGACAAGATCTTGCTATGTTGCTTTGGGCCTCACTAAATTACTGAGGCTGGCATTGAAATTGCCTTCCTCCTTCCTCAGACACCCCAAGTCTCTGGGATTTCGGGTGTGCACCACCATGCCCAACAACAATGAACTCCTAATAAACACAGTAAGCTTAGATGAGAAGTCAGCTGTAACAATAAACTCTCATCAAATGGAGATCTTACTTTTCATAGAACTAGTTCTATTTGAAGGAAGGAGAAAATGCATGCATATGAAATGTTCTTTTCTTCAATTTCTCCCAAATTGATTTCTTTCCCAAGTTTTCTAGTTGTGATGAAAGAAAGTTATAATTTCAGTCTACAGTGGTATGTTACTTCATTTTTCTAAGAATATGAGGATGGGAAATTTGTTGGTCAGCTATGGGAAAAGGAGGGACATATAAGTTGGTTATTTTTTAATTCCTGAAGAATGCAATCAAGAGGCATACATTAGCTGGGTGCAGTGGCACATGCCAGTAATCCCAGTGGATGGGGAGGCTGAGGCAGGAGGATCAAAAGTTTAAAGCCAACTTAGCAAGGCAACTTAGCAAGGCCCTAAGCAACTCAGGGAGACCCTGTCTCTAAATAAAATACAAAAAAGGACTGGGGATGGGGCTCAGAGGTAAAATGCCCCTGGGTTCAATCATATATATATATATATATATATATATACACACACACACACACACACACACACACACACACACACCTAATGAGATTGCTATTATCTTGCACATAGGAAATTCACACTTTCTTGAGAATGGACCTTTGTATATCTCTTTTATTCCATCAGTCACAAACTCTGCAAAAATACAGTAGTTTGAACAATATGGTAGATGCTCAAGTAGTAATGGATTTTATTATCAAAGGACTGTGGTGGCCCACTCCTGTAATCCCAGCAGCTTAGGAGGCTGAGGCAGGAGCATCTGGA